GTGTGTGGAAGCAGCCATGTGCGTGAATAGCGCACAACACAGAGAGAGAGAGAGAGAGAGAGAGAGAGCGTGAGAGCGGGGGGTGGTTTCCCAGCTCTAGATGACCACCACTACACCGGGGGGGGGGGGGGGGGGGGAGGGGGGGCTCCCATTGAGGTTGCTCATATCATATCCATACGTCGGACCGGTAGTGTAAAAAAAAAAGAAAAAAAAACACGCCGAAACATCTCAGACAAGGCACACCTCAAATATAAGGTATGTACCTGCCTGCCTACCTGCTTTAGATTATTTTCCTAGCTACGCAGGCCTAACCTACCAGTGTTTTCCAACTACGCGGGCCTAGCCTACCGCTATGCCCCGCTGCAACCCACAAAGTGCCTTCCAAACATACAAGTACCCTGGAAGGCCAGACACACACCCAAGCAATCATGCACTCAGACAAACACACGGAAACCAGCAAGCACGCACAGACACAGACTTAGAAATCTGAGCAGAAAGGGGGATTCTCAGCAAGTGACACACTCTAGTGACGAAACTGAGAAATCAGCAGAGTCCTCAGTCTGTGATTTTGCAGGTCCTTACAGTTGCATCCTGCCACAAATTTTTGAAGGGGACACAAGTGACCACTGATCCAGGCATTCGACCCCTTCTTTTTCTAAGTGCCTATTTCCCCCGTGCGCCGCATGGTTCGGGTGAGCTTGCGTGCCATGCTGTGCAATTGCCCGGACGGCGTTCTCGAGCGCATCGGTCCGGCACCACTCAAGGGCAGCGCGGGACCCTCCCGGCCGCGTCACGCAGGAGTCGGTCTAAATCCTCGTCGCGAACATACATGGAGCTTTCGCAAAACCGCTCCGGCCGAGTGCACCAGCCATACCTCTCGCGAGCCCCTACGACAGGACAGGGCCTACGCGAGGTACGACTTACCTTCACCTTACGGGAGCTGTCACCTCCCTTCCGTGGACGTATCCCCGCCGAGTTACCAGCCCACAGTACGAAAGCTGATCACTTGCAGTCGCAGAGGTGGACCAGCCGAGGGCGTTTCTCGTTTGCTGTAGCATAGGGGGTACGCGCAGTACTACGCCTCTATCGAACCCGCACGCGAACCGACATCTTGGGGGGCTGAGGTCCCAAGCGCGACTCGTCGCCGGTCGACTAGGACGCATCCCACACGCCACGCGCACACCACTATAAAGAACATAAAAATAAGACACACACACAACATACGTACGAAACGACACAATACAAACAACGCGACAACGCTCCTAGTCCCTCGGTAGCCATCCCATAACTTTCCGATGCGGAATCGGATAGGCGTGGCGCGCGGGGCTCAGTATAAAACCGCGCGGACGCTGAGCCGATTCATATCGACTCGCAATGCAAGCGTGCGCAAGCAGTCGCAATGGTGACGTACTATTATGTAGTGCCCGTAATCAAGCGGTCCCTTGTGGATCCGAGTACCGCTTATGACACTCAAGTAGCAGACTCGAAGTATCGTGATGGTCTAACCCCTCACGATATTGGACGGCTGAAGGAATAGTCGTGCAGCCGCCGCGAGACCTTCGGCCTTTGGCCTGAGCGTCTCGGCAGGCATGGCAAATAGGCTTTGCGCGGGGGAAAATCCCTTCCCTGCAGAGTCTAGGGCTTGGGATGTCCTGGACAAGGACCTTGAATCCCGACCCAGGACCAACGTCCGACTAAGAATTTATTAAGAAACATACACTTAGATAAAAGGGTTTACCTTTCTTTTTTCTTAACCCCAACCCCAATTTAATCTTAATATGAGGGCCCCTCAGGCCACGCGAACGCTCAGCATAGCTACACATATATTTATATATATATAATGGGGATAAGTATGTGACGATCACTTCTCATAAATCACAGTGGGGCTCCTCACAACCATATGTATATGTGTGATCGCAGGCAGTCAAATCCAAAATCTGAACCACATAACATTATCACATCAAAAGTCCAACAAAGTCCACGCACTATACGGAATCAACCCCAACCATTCTCTATACTCATACCCCTTGCTTTAGCCATGCAAGCCCAACCTCCAGCCAACCAACCATAATTAAATACTCAGTACTTTTGTTAAATGGCCATTCAAGAAAAGTCCGGGTGAAACCTTAGCAAAACAAAAAAAAATCACCAAGGCTAAAGCCTTTTAGGTCGAGCATTGAGGGTGGGTTGCAATTGAGTCGTAAACCGACGAATCGGCAACCGACCTGTTATCAGTGATAGAAGAAGGTGATCCTCTTGGGATCAAAGCTGAATCTAGCCCAAAATCCTGAATCGACTCGTTCAAGAAGATCTGTAGTACAAGACAGGCCAACCCCCAAGCTAAGTATAGAAGTTCATGGAGAATAATCTCCATAACACGATCTCACCCAAATCATTCCAATTCACTAGGCCTACCTCTAAGCAGGTGCCAAAGCAAAGGTAGACCCTAGCATAATCTCCCCTACACAGAGTGGATCTCCATGAATCGCCACCTGTCAAATCTACAATACTATAAGAATCGCTATTTCTTATCGTACGGCCTAAATCGCAGGCCGGTACCGTTACCGGCGACGGCCCAGATTGGCCTGCGATCAGAAAGTTTTTTGATCGGCCTGCGATCTGGGCCACGATGAGCACCGAGCACCCTCCCCGGCGAGCAGCAAAGGAGAGCACAGTGTGTGTGTGTGTGAGAGAGAGAGGGGGAGAGAGCAATGAGCACCAAGGAGAGCACCAAAGGAGCGAACACGATGAGCAGCAATGAAGACAAAGCACGAATCCAAGCACGGATGAGCACCGGCCACCAATCAAATCGATTTGGTAATCGGTGCTCATTGTAGTTTGATTTGCTGGCCGGTGCTCATCCGTGCTTGGATCCGTGCTTTGTCTTCATTGCTGCTCATCGTGTTCGCTCCTTTGGTGCTCTCCTTGGTGCTCATTGCTCTCTCTCTCTCTCTCTCTCTCTCTCTCTCTCTCTCTCT